TCTCTCTCTCTCTCTCTCTCTCTGTGTGTGTCTCTCTGTCTCTCTGTCTCTGTCCCTCTCTATATATCTATCTATTTATCTCTCTCTCTCTCTCTTTCTCTCTCTCTCTCTCTCTCCCTCTCTCTCTCTTCTTACCACTAGCTGAAAGAGAGTGAGACGCAGACAAATAGAGGATGTGGATGTATCTGTTTATGCATGAGTCTGCGAGTGCGTCAATGTGTGTGTGTGTGTGTGTGTGTGTGTGTGTGTGTGTGTGTCTGTCTGTCTGTCTGTCTGTCTGTCTGTCTGTCTGTCTGTCTGTCTGTCTGTGTGTTTGAGTGTGCGCGTGTTGCGTCTCTGTGTGTGTGCGGTGAGGAGGAGCGTTCACTTTTTATGTTTTCCCAGTGGCACAAGGCACAGGTGTTCCCACCGTGGCCCAGACTCCAGACATGAAGGGAGAAGGAGGAGACGGAATTTACTTAGAGGCCCAGCTTTCCCAAATCCAGACGAAGATAATGATCCTTAGAACAACCCGACTTCATTACCACTTACCGGTCTAGAACTGGGAAAACACCCGTATTCTTATTAACCGGATTAGTGATTTACTCATTCGAAAGGAACCGGCACTGACAGAGTTGCGACACGGTCTCTGAAGAGACAGCACACTAATCAAGTCTATTGAAAACAAGTCGACCAGGGAAACTCCGTAAACAAATCATTATGCTCGACTGAATTTTAATCTGTCATAACGTCAACACTGGGTCAAACCACTAGGCCTTTACTCTGACTCACGGTCCATACTGAAATGAAACGGTTCAAACGAACTGGTGAGTCCAAAAGAGAGAACCGTTCTGTGAAAGAGTTCGGGGACAGCTGAAACCATAACCAGCCCAAAAAGAGAAGTAGAATCATTTTATTGAAACAGTTAAGGAGATCGTTTGAGAGAAAATAAAAAGTATGGAATCCAGATTACTAGCACAAGAAGCAATGGCCTCTTTTGAGAAAATAACTTGTGCGGGTGGTAGGTGGGCGCAACTGGTAGGTCCTTCTTCTTTCCTTTCCTTCTGTTATTTCTATCAGTTTATCTTACTTTTTCGCAGCACTAAATGGCCATCATTGTTTCGATGTGCTCCTCTTTACTACTCAAACTCAAATTTGAGAAAATAACCGACTAACTGGTTTTTGACTCGGACTTCGCTCACCTCTGAATATGCTACTTTGTGAACAGACCCAGAAAAAGGCACTGTATTTGAAGAACTGGGCAATTACTCTGATAGTGAATGCCAAAGTCCGAAACAACGGGGGGGGAATCCTTTTAAATCAGACCATTACATGATTACAAACATGAACGTCCAGGAACAGTCTCCGATATAATGTAGAATTATCTAAGCTCGACAATTTGCCAAAACTATACCTTAATGTCGGAAAGTAGAAGGCAAGAGTATGCAGTTACTAATAAAGACGACAAAGAAAGTACTTAATATTGAACCACATTAAAAGAGGTGGAAGTGGGAGAAGGCATTAAGGAATTACTGAAATTGATCTAACCAACAACAAATTGGAGGCCGTTGGACTACTCAATTACACATACTTCAAGAACATCCATTTCACAAACCGTGCTCTGCTCTGAAATGGTAAAAACTAACATACTCCCAAACTAACATCCTATTGCAAAAAAGAAAATGTAAATACAAGGGTTTTAAAAGCGAGGAGTAGGCCTAGTTATCATTAAAGAGCCGACCCGCCCGAGAATAGATTTGAATTTCAAACCCAAATCTGTGTTATGGCGAAATCAGAGAATGTTATGAGCGTGGAGCATTACGCTTTGGCTTTTCCACTGGTGGGGAAAACCGCGCAGTGTAATGTGCAATGTACTTCTTTCTCAGACTTTCGGGTTTGTTTGGCTTTTCTTTTCTTTTTTTTCGATTTTGTTCCAGACTCTCCAACCACGTCTAAAATCAGGAACCCCAGAGACTCTCAATCGAACGCCTGCTAGCACTCACGCACGCACACTCATACACATGCACACAC